TCGGCAAGGAATTCCATTTCTCGCATAAGTAAGCGCAGAGGTGTTTTTTTTCAATTTCTGCATTGACGCTGCATCTATAGATTTCCAGAGGAATGTGTAATGATATTGGTAAGAATAGAGTTTGCCATTGGCAGGGGAATTGTGCATTGCTTTATGGCAGGCACGTGGCATAGATTTTTGACACTTTTACATTATTGATTTTTAGATGCATGCATCTATTGATCACTCACCAACTCCCAATAAAAAGCTTACTTGTTCTAAGTATTCAGTGGGTTTTGTCATTACTGTTAAGGGAAGTGGAGTCCCAGGAACCTGTCTGTCTGTCTTTGTGTGCACTTGATGGGTCCAGCTACCACCACCCCAATGAATGTGTTCGTACTTTAGTGTATTAGTGCGAGCGCTCACAAAGGCTGTTGGTGTGTTATGCTTGAGCGAGTACAGCAGCTTGCAACCACAGTAGTTTAAAACATTGCTAATTTACTCTTTCTTGATTGATCATTCAACATCATGGCCAGGAACTGCAGAGCTGGTAAGACAGATATTTAAATATTCGCTCTCTTAACTAACTAGTTGTAAAATGTACCTTGTTTATATATAATGTTTATTAAAATTTAATTTATGCTAGATTTGGACATGGTTTATCCATATATTTTGCTAAATTTTTCTTCTTTTTTTTTTATATATATTTTTGAATTTTTATGTTTATACTTTATAGTACAGTAGATCAATAAAGTTAGGACATCACTTTGTTATTGTTATCATTGAAAATTCTAGTCAAATTAGTAATTGATTGTTAGTTTTTAGAATGGAATGACAAAGTAATATGCGTCTTTCAGATGGTTATTTGTGACAATCACAATCCTTGGTATGCTTAAATTGAAGTGGGCAAGTCTGGGAATTAGCAATTAAAATTGATTTCATTAGAAAGTGAAAAACAATTTCAAGCTTCTGATATTTAGTAAGAATAATTAGTGGTGTTTACTAGTTTCAACATCTTATCAGCAAGCAAAGTAACTTGAACATCCTGCTACTATTATGCTTTTAAACTCTCTCACACACACTGTATTCAACCTCACTCTGAAACTTGTACTGAATTTTCAATCACTAGAATTTATCTTTTCCCACTCTCATACTCATTTTATTTATTTTCATAATGATCCTTTCTCTTATCTTTATTACCAGTGTTAAACGTTAATATATTGATTTCTTATTTCCATTGTCTTTATTCTTTGTCTTGTTAATTTTGTTCTCATCTTTCATCCTCACTCTCATTTTTATTCTCAGTCCTATTATCTGTCTTTCCTCATTCTAAATTCTATTCTCTTTTTCTTCTTCGTTCATTTCCAGTTAAATACAGTATTCCCTATCTCATCATCATCTGTCTATTCATTCTTTATTTTCACACTCATCCCCACACTTATACTTATTCTGTAACTAATCCTCAATTCCCTTTTTTTTTAATTGTTATTCTCATTCTCTCACTTACCATCATTCTCATCCCCATTCTTATCCACATTTAAATGTTATCCTCAATATTGTCTCATTTTCTGCTATATCCTCATTTTCGTCGTGCTTTCTTTCTTTATCTTATCCTGAACTATTTATCCTTTTATACTCAACCTCATACTTTTTGTATTCAGTATCTCATTCTCATTCTTACCTTCCTTCTATCATATACTCCATTATTATCTAGTTTTCTGCCTTGTCCTCGTCTTCATCTGGCCGCATTCTGTTACCCTCGCCTATTTTCACATTCTCTGTCTTATCCTCATTCTCATCCATTTGCATTATTTTCATCAACTATGTTTATATTTTCTTTCCTATTTTCATCCCATCTGCATTCTATGTCTTATCCTCAACTATCTTCTATTCTGTCTTCACCATCTGAATTCTGTATCTTATCCTCAACTATCTTCTCATTCTCTGTCTTATTTTCATCCTTATACCATCTGCATTCTATATCTTATTCTCAACTATTTTTCCTTTTCTGTCATTCCCATTCTTATCCTTCATTTTCTGTATCATTCTCATTGTCCTTATATTATCCTTGTTCTATATCCTCTCCTCGTATTCTGTCATCATTCTTTAATTCCAATGCTTTCCTTCCCACCTACTCGTCTAATTCCTTCCATATTCCCACTGTCATCTTCTGTCTTATTGTATCATTCTCATCCTCATTTTCATTTTCTTTCTAATCTTCATTGTGTATTTATCTTCAGTTTTATCTTGTGTCTATTCTTGTTCTCATCCTCATCTTCATTCTTTGCCTCCTGATATTATGGCAATTTAAATAATAACTTCATAGAGTGCCAACTGCCTACTGCCCAAATAATTAAATAATACACTTGAGGTGTTTTGAGGGAAATGCGCGATTATCTTTTATGTTCACGGGGTAAGTTTCCAAAATGTAATGTGTAGACCTACCACTCGACTAAAATTTATGAAGATCCGTTTTGCATAATCATGCTAAATGGATAAACAGATTAGACAGTGATGAATACACAAACTCTTTGGTGGAGATATATGTTATAAATTCCTTTTTCTGAATACAAAAATAATATTCATGGATAAAAACACAATAAAGTACCGAAAAGGCAAACTTATTTCCATTGTGGTCCAAAAAAAAAATTAATTAAATTTGAATGTTCCCTGTTTTGTGTTGTCGTGTTGAGTTTTATGGCAAAAACAGAAATCAGTATGGTTAAACTAGATGGTCCTTATGAAATTCATTGTATTTAGTACTTTTTTAGCATCTGTACATTATTTTAAACATGTTGTACTGTAATTATATTAACTAATAATATAAATTACAACCCTGGCACAGGTCTGGTTTAGTTTCTGGTATATTTTTTTTTTTTACTTAACAATTTGCCCTGTTTAATGGTTACTTGTAATCTTGTTTAGTAGCTTACAAATGATTAATAAAATATATTATTGGTTACACTAAGTGTGATGGTTGCCTGATTTGTGTTTTTAAAAAATTGTAGGTTTTTGCAGTAAAATCGTTATTAAGCAATGTCCTTGTAAGCTTTATAGTTGATGCCGGTTGGAAGGTGGATGTCCATTTTATAATGACGGTATAGTTAGTCACGATCTCTTGCCTTTGCAAATGCAGTTCTGTTTCCCCAAAGGAGCAGTGTGGTATATTCACATAAAGAGTCATTCTGTTGCTAAAGTTGCAGCCATCATTATATAGCTATTAACCTAATCGTCAATATCATACATCGGAGGCGAGGTGCCTATTACATCTACACATTAATAGCTTCCCTGATACTCAATGCAAGCCTTTTATGGATTGTAGATAATATCAGTGATATCTAACTGATGTGAATATGGAAACATACTTGCATGTGTTTCGTTGTACTAAATACTGTATGTCTCATACTGATGTCTCATATACGGTAGTATTGGAATAGGTCTCATTCTGGTGTCACACGGGATGGGTCTCAATATAAATGGGACTTACAATGGATGTATCTTGTACTGCATCGGTGTCATACTGGACGTGTCTCATACTCGATGTGTCTCATATTATGGTTGCAAAGTGTGGTAACACGTAACATATTGGGAGTGTGATTAAGTGAGACAATCTTATTTGTGGCATGTAACCTTTCTTCTCGCATATTCTTCTACCCTTGTAGATTATATGACTATAGAAATGTGGGATTTTTCTCAAAAAACCTGAAATTCATATAGGTTTTATTTCAGATGTCAATAGCACCCATCAAGCTTCTGAAATGGCGTTCCACTTGGCAACACATTCTGATTAGATCTGTATTCTATTGGCAACATTCTCCGTCTCAGGGGAAACTTCAATTAATCTCTCAGTGAATCTTGTTTTATTCATCACATTTCTTTATATTATATTTTTCTGATTAAAGTAAATGATTTGATTACTGATGCTAGTATAAAGAACTTATCAAGTGTTAATTTAGATTGTGGGCCAGTGGCCTATATATTGAGGATGAATAAAAGCCCATTTAGGGGAACGAAGAAGATGCCATGTCACAGCAAGAGTACAGTACTGCTACATATATTGTTTTTTTTTTTAATTCTACATTCCGTTGGCAATATGTGAAAAGTTTGTAGATAATATCACACACACTGCTGACTATATCGGACTTCAAGTAATGTATGATGCAAAATATGTCGTTGGTGCTCCCTGAAACTGTCTCGGCCTGTTTCAGATTTTTTTATGCTTTAATTTTGTTGTATTGTAACCGGTTGTTGTTTTTTATGTATTTTATTGAGACAAAATAAATGAAATGAAATGAAATGTGTTGAGTGCAAGAATGCATGAGGACTGACTGGCAGTGATACATGAGATCATAGTATAGAGTATTCATGCTAAAGAATATTGATGTTGTAGATATAATAGACCTTTTATGCTAAGCGCCACCTTTTCAATATTGCTGCTAAGGCCCCCAAACGACAGCAGCGTACATAAAATATGCATTTGTACCACATTATTGTGTTTGTGATAAGAGCAAGTATTCAAATACAAAATGTAACTATTTTATTGTAATATGATGAATGGTAATAACTAGTTTGTACATAGATAAACATAAAATATAAAAATAGAATTCTGAGTTTTACTTTTAAAATAACCTTTACATGCCCCTTGAAGGTATTAAAGAACTTAATGTGACCTATGACCCCTAGATGAATGAATTAGCATTGCTTCATTTAGATAGTTTTACTTGCACGTCAGAGTAAATCTCAATACTAACAGGTGTATCTCCAAGTCCGTAAATTACAATTGAAATCACTTATGCATTTTGTAGCCTTACTATCTTTCCAAATAATATATAATACTTAGCCAGATATGAGGGAATCTTAATATTTATGTTACTCATTATCTTTATGTTAATTATTATCTTTATATAATCTTTATTATAATATTGTTAATTTAAATATTCTTTACATATATTATTTTTAGGATATTATGATCTTTATTATATTTACATAATACTATTACATATCATATTTATATTTTTCAGAGATATCTTATGTGTTGATGTCGATCCAGATATTCAATTTGAGGACTTTTGTTCCGATATGAGAGACATCTGTAACTTTCAGGACGATGCCCTTTTTACTATGAAGTGGCTGGATGATGAAGGTTATTATTTTTTTTTTATTATTGACTGGTTGATTGGTAATTGACTGATCAATATCGATAACTAAGTTTGACGATTTGTTTGTTCTTTTGTGTAAGGGGTATACACCAATCTTCTGTGTGCTCCTTGGCTATTAACATCTTTGTATTTATGAATTGAGAGACTACATATCTTGCACCCTTGTTGATAAAGAGTTTCTCTTCAAATACAGTATTTTAAGAGAATAGGGGATTGAATCACGGTGCACAGATTATGGTAGATGCCATTGGTCACTACCAAATTATCTTGTTGATTTCAACAAGGATCTACAGTTTTACATCATCATCATCATCAGATCATTCCAAAACAAAGTAAATAATATAAAGTTATGATACATTAAAATTAAGGATACCATCATCCAATCGAATCCAATCCAAATTTTGACTTATAAGGTGGATTATACAAAGTCTTAATGCGCCATGTAATACAAAAGGAATATAAGATTGAATTTATATCTCATGAATCTTTAAATTTGATCAATCAAAGGTCATATACAAAAGCTTGGAAATCCACAGACTTGAAGATGCATCAACGTAGAATTGGAAGATGCAAATTTTGATAGAATAAGTAAAGGCTTAAGGCGTCTGTTAATTGAGCTAATAGCTGCGAGCCAAATCACTTATTACAATTTGCATTTCATTGCTACCAACAGATATAAGGCACACTTGGTTCAATATGCATTTTTTGTATTAACAAATTAGATTTGGACTTTAAATTACATGGCTCTTGTGGAGTACCTAAGCCTTTACTTAGCAAGCCTCCCATCATTAATTCATGCATTTAATGATGCAGATGCCACAATGTTCACTGAAGCAAATTATAAATGTCAAAGGTTGAATATAAACAGTATTGATAGAGATGATTAAATTTGAAATGAATAAAATTGAATAGGAATCATTTTTGACATTCTTTGGTCCAAGGTTAGAACAGTAATACTGTAATAGAGTTAATTCTGTTAAGTTTTATGAATTTTATATTAATCACATTTAAGCATGTATTTATTAATAGATTAGTATAAAATAAAAAGAATAGTAATTTTATGGCTGATATATTCAGTGATTTCAGCAACCAGCAAACATAACCAGTTTCATAGATAAAATTCAGTTTATTTTTAAGGGTCATTCTGTCTTCCAAGAACATGCTCACTCCCTAAAATTTTGCCTTTATGATTTTTTTTAAATTCTCTTGCAACAAAGAAGCAAAGCAGAATAAAGACCGTTTTATCGTTTTTTTTTTATTGATAATGTTAATTTGCTGACTTTATTTGTGCCAAGAGTAAGCACATTGGTCTTTTATTCTTTAACAAATTACACCGTTTTTTCCCTAAATTGTAAATTGAAAGTTAAATTATAGGCCAATGACAACATTTGTCGTTAGTATCGGTTAATAGAAATAAGTTATTTAACGGTATCTCAATGATATGAAACATCAAAGCGTACTCTTGATTAAAGATTTTCAACTTAGAATGTACCTATTAAATGCCGCAGAGAATAGCCTAAAGCATTTGTTTGGTACATCTTTTTTTTATGCAAGGGAGGTGCATATTTAATCATTTACCATACCTTTGAAGTCATCACATTTCATAACATCTTCCATTTTTTTAACTTATATTTTCAAACTTATTAATTTGATATGTAGCATATTGAAATTTCTGTTATATAGTATCATAATTTTCAAGATCTTTTATAATCCTTTAAGTTTGATTTTGTAGTTAAACAATGTGCTATAAAATAATTCATAATCCTTCAACTTATTTTTATTGGATTGTTCCATGAAAGCCAATAGCTTGCTAGTCATTCCATCCGACGACGGATTATCATATGAAAGAGTCAAGTTTCCTTTGTATTAATTTACAAGCAAAGCCAACAATATACCTGCAACTATGATTTTCAAGGTACCCTCAGTACAGTATTATAATCAGTTATGAGGCCAACTGGCCTAAATGTTACTTTGATAACTCTCGTCTTAAATTAAACCCCCTCTCCTGAATGATTAGCAACCGGCTGACCCTTGGCCTTAAATTAGATCTGCGGTATTAGCGCATTTAATAAAGAACCTTCTATTACAAAAAAAAATATATGGCCAGAAATATGTTGTTAAATAGATTCTATTATAAAATTACATCCGTATTCTTTCCTAATTATTTATTTACTAAGTTATGGTGTGTTACTATGAAAAGAGATAGAGAAAGGAAACAAAAAAATAAATACGTTATCATTTCAACATATGTTTGCAGAACTGTCTGTCACATGCTATAACTTGTTATTTTTTTTAGTTTGGTTTTAACAAAAATAAAATTAAAAAGAATTTAGGTAATGCAAGTGTCAGTAGGTAAAATAGTTGCAATGAGGAGGAAATAGATCTAAAAAATATAATCACTATAACAGACACTACCAAAGAAGCTAGCCCCTTTTTCATTTCATTTTATTCGGCATTATAAACATTAAATATACTTGTAGCCTGAATGTTTTTTTTTATTTAATTTATCAAGGGTAATTCAAAGCATGATATTTTATAATATGACTCAAAAATAGAATAAATTGAAATGTTTTTTAAGTATGATAATATATAGTCATGTATTGCCTTCTACAGTCAATTTTTCAAGATTCATACACATTTTTGTTCATAATTCTAAACCAGGAAATAACCAACATTGAATATAACAGTGTATGTTTCATTCTTCCTATTGTTTTGTTTTTTAACTTATTAATCTTTGTATTGTATATACAAAGGTTTTTATTTTATTGAAATTGTGTATCATCTCTATAATGAGTTTGTATGTACTGTCTTCCCATCTCTTTTAATAGTTTATGGTTATTTTTATGTTCTTTATAATGTAGTGGATGTATAAGAACCAATTTAATTATTTCCATCTATGTTTTTGTTTTGCCTGTGATTTTCTCTTCATTCTTTCCTACTTTCTATACATTTATGTATTTATTTAAACCATTATTTACAGTAGATCATCAATTTGATTTAAAACACAAATACTAGACATTCATACCTTTAAGGCTGGTGCATTGCTGTGTTTGTAATGTTAGGCGTTGTTATAGGCCAACCCAAACTTTACTTTGGTGATGCACCAAAGGCGTGTCTGATTTGAATTTTGCTAGACCCAAACCTTTGATTGTATAAAAATAAATCAATTTATGATGTTTTGAAGCCCAGTGAAATATTATTTATCCATTGTTTGTTTGATACTACCATAGTGTAATTAATATCAATATATAGTTGGTTACAAAATATTTTGATGATAACACAGAAGTATTTAGTTGAAGACTATCACTGATAAATGAAATGGATACATAGTAGATAGTAGCATAACCATTCACAAACATACTATATAATACATGCCATACTTTATATTATTTAAATTCCTTTTGAATTTATTTAACATGTTTTTTTCTTCATAGGTGATCCTTGCACAATCTCATCACAAGAGGAACTTGAAGAAGCTATCAGACTTTATGATCTACATAAAGATTCCAACATTATCATTCATGGTAAGTTTAACCATTCGCAACATCAACATCCATGGTGAGTTTATTAACATCAGCATCCATGGTGGGTTTAAAAAATTCATATCATCATCCATGGTGAGTTCAACCATTCACAATATTATAACAAATGATGAGCTTACCATATGATGAGCTTAACCATTCACAACATCAATAGCCATGATGAGTTTAAATAGGAAAAAGAGGTAGGTTTAACCATTGAAAACATTATAATCCATTTTTCTTACATTATCAATTAGTAAAGGAAAAATGTATGGAATAACGTGTGACTTGCTCAGCTTTACAATGCGGTTGATTTGCTCACAGGCATCGATCAACTCTCACAAGGATCACTTTGTGTCCAGTGAGATGCCATAGGTGTGCTTTTGTCTGAAATTACAGGAGCCTACTAGTTCTCTTAAAGGATGTGCTGGATTCTGTGCATGCTGTAATTTATGTGTGTTTATAGTCCTTATCTGAAAAGACATGGTCTAGCAACAGAAACCCAGACTGAGCAGTGAGATTCAAACCTGTGCCAATAATATTTCATAAGGCTGCAAGTAGCGGCGCTGCTGCTGCACCACTTGGCAACGCAACTCACTTGATCCGACATTAGCCGGTGTAGGCTGAAAAACAAGTTCTAGTCAATGGAAAACCACAAAGACTGTAGAATTGATCCAATAAATGCTTTGTAGGTTGTGTCAAGGAATGCAGATGGTTGTATTTGATTCCATTGGTTTACTTTCTTTTTAATCCAAGTTTTGATCTATTCATATATTAAATTGGTATAATTTTATTTTCCTACAATCAATATTTGTTATATGTTAGTATAATAAAACAGAATCTAAATACTACTCTCTAATGAATGACTCTGAATTAAACTATTAAAATTTCATCTCCGCCCACGTTCTGCATTTCAGAGAACTGTGCTATAGATTGTAAAGGTAATTTTAGCAATCAGATTGGCCATCATTATGGATTACCTCATCCATGTTGCACCATATTATATATAGGGATATTGCTGTATAAACACAACACTGAATTTACAGGGCAGAAACTGTCAAAAAGTTAGCATAATATTTTGAGAGAGTCCCAAAATAAACAGCCATATATCCAGAGGTGAAAGCAACCGTAGTGGATCAATAGACTTTGCATTTACATCCACTGCCTGCATACTTTATGCAAATTATTTAATTGATTGGCCAATTAAGCTCACAAACTTTACAATCATAGATCACCTCAGATTTCTAGGCCTCATTTCTGCCCATCATAGCTAGCAGATAGTGTGCACACACAGTGAATTGTGAATTTCTGGCTCTCTTGTGACACACCAAGCCCTGAGGAGGTTTTGCATTGTTGATCAATATTTTCAATTTACATGAAAACACTTTAGGGCCATTTACTGCATACTTGGGATCAATGGACAAGATTGAATCTTGTCCACCTGACTCAGTTGATACTGTACTTGATGATTATAATGTGTTAGCCAATTTACTTTTGAATTATCAATTTATTTTTTCTATCAAATGAAAATTAATCAAGGTAAAAATCATTTGCAAAATTAGCCATATCCTTACAAAAGATTCTGAATTTAAATTTGACATTTAATGTATTTATAAGTAAGATTTTGTTTGGTATAAATACTTTATAAAACCATGGAGATATTAATTTGTTTCGACTCCGTCATGCTGACATGATTAACATAAATATTGATAATTTATTAACATTGAGCTTGCTGCTCATATCATTCATTCTTTTGGAATTGAATTTATATTATCATTTCCAAAAGAAAGCATTAACATTATCAAAATTTAAGGTGAGATAAATATACATATAAACCATAAGCAATTACCTTAAACCCTCGAATAGAAGCCCAGTGTACTTAATCTCGAGAAGAAGCCCATCTCAAATTGAAGCCCCCTCTTTAGTTTCCAAAAGTAGCCTCGAAAAGAAGCTACTTTTCTTTTGAAAAGAAGCACAATTCGATGGGCTTTCCAAGATAGCATGGGCTTTTTTTTTTTTTTTCGAGAAAGCGAGTATATACACTGCACATTAATATCAAAGGAAAAAAATTAATTAAAAACATGCTTGGTTAATACAGTAGTCTAGGTGATTTAATACTGATAAATACACTCCATGATTGATGTTACAGTGACATTTATTGTTTTATAGTAGTAATTTCCGAAAAATTTACAGCATTCATTTTGAAAAGAAGCCCCCTCTTTACTTTGCAACAGTACCCTTGAAAAGAAGCCCACCTGAACAAGAAGTCCATCCAAAATTTGCAAAAAATAAGAAGTCCAGGGCTTCAATTCAAGTTTTTACAGTATAATTTCTTAACGCATTTTTATCTCATAACTTATTGAAATCTATATTTTAAGATGTACTATAAAACATATGGTGAGTAGGTTATTACTGTATAAAAAAAATTCTACAAAAGTTCATGTATAGTTGCTATCTTGTGTTCTAAAAAATCCTTTGTTAGCAATGACTGGTAGCCTAGAATCTGAGCTCATCCCTTGGAACAATTCCTATGTGGAATTCTTGCCGCCTGGGGCTAGGTTTTATCACTCCAAGACTTTCATCATAGGAAACTGCAGCACAGTTGGGAAAGCCAGCTAAAGTGGCTTTGTTCATCGGTTACCGCTACAACTCCCTGCTTTAATCAAATCCAAAAAGTCTGCATAGATAAGGTGAAGCAAGCCGATGCTACGCTGTCTGTAAAACTAAGCTGATCAGGTCTAGCTTTTTGTATTTTCATAAAAAATACTTGTGTGTGTGTGTGAATCACACACAGTATAGAGGAGCATCGAAGGATAACAACATTATATTTGCTATTATATAATCCTTGATCTAAGGATGCTGCTTCATTTCCATATCCAAGTGCTACCACGTGTGATACGGCCTGCTAGTCCTCATTGGTGTTCCCATATAAGTAAATTACTTTTTGGATTATGAGAGACAGCATGGTTTGGTGTGCTGGCTACCGATCTGATGCATGCTTTCAAAGGTTGACTTTGTGGCTTGTTATTTGCTGAATAGACACAAACATTGCTTCTCCACCAGCATATTTGCATGTAAGTAGCATAGTATAGACTTATAGTAGGAATGTGTACTGTACACGCTCTAGTATTTTAATATTAAAGAATGTTCTATGATAGTGTGATATGTTTTGTGAGGTGCAGAGGTCAACCTATTCCAGTTGCTATTATATCATGTGCTTAATATACAGTCTTTTTACTCATAGTAAAGTTAGTTTATGTTTATCAAAAGTACCATTTTCACTTCCTGCACTTTTTCACTGATTGCATTGTATAAACATATATGTAAGACACATGACTTAGATTGGAGTCGCTGATTATATCTATACTAGATTACCCTCTGGGTAGTCCTCATCAAACCTGAATGGTAGACAATTCTCAATTACCTGTAATTAATATTCAAAAGTGAGATACTGCACTAACATACATACAGTATACAGCAGCATTTAGCTGTATATGTATGTTAGTGAAGTAACTTACGTATGAATACATGTTTAATCACCCCAGTTGTTAGACTTCGTAATATTTGTATCACATTAGAATTTTATGTATTTTATTCAATTTGGCAAGGACAATCACAAGAAACCAATTAATATCAAAACACCAAATTTAGGACAATTCCGGGAAGCAGCGCAACAAAATAATCCACAGGATGTGCTGCTCCCAGAAAGGAAAACCACTTGGCTTACAGCAATATTTTAAACTAACACTTCAACTTAGCAAAGCCAATCAAAATTGACTGAAATAACACAAGCAGGCATTTAGCCAATTTACACTATAGAGAAAATCTAGACCATTTCTGCTTAAGAATACGGATGATACGATGGGGCCTTGCCACTTGATGACATTATTGGGCTCCTGTGTTAACCAAAAAACTTTGATAAGGCCATGTAAAATAAAATAATTGGTTAGCATCCCCTCCCTACCATCAAAAAGGCCACCGACCCGATTTTTTTTTAATTTTTTTTTTTTTTTTACAATACACTCACAAACTCAATTTAATATAGGTTTGTTTACCACCCGTCTGCACACTAGCCAGTCCACTTGCAGTTCTATGCTCTACTGTTGTTCTATAGGCCTATACTGTAGCCACATATGGTATCCATGATGCCTGTTGTGTTGAGGAGTGAATTGTGCATGATAATACATAGAGATAATTGCATTGTGACGCCGTTATTCATAGGTAAAGTTTCTGCTTGTTATAGATGCTTGTATGTAATTTTGGTCTCTGTTGTTTTATTCTTCTTTTTTTGCTGTTTTTCCTTGCGAAACTATTTTTTCACGTTCGATGCAAAAAAAAAAAAAAAAAAATTGATAACATAAGGATGCTAACCAATTGTTTTATTTTACATGGCCTAACTATGATAGGGATGCGAGCTACTCAGCTGGAAAAATAGTGTTAGAAATTACGAAAAAAAGTCACCCATTTTGGACAATGACTTTAATTTGCCAATTTTATAGTTTTTAATAGCTTGCTAATTAACTAATATCTTACTATTAGTTAGTGGAGTTGTACCTACAGTACAAGAGCTGATTGCCTTCTAATTCCTGAGTCTTGACGCTAAAAACAACTCCCTGAGATTTGGTTTATAATGTAAAGGCATCATTCCTTTCTGTTATTGATATTACCGAAATCTTTTGTTTGGATGTGAAAAAATAAATATAAAAAACTACTGTTTTCAATCTGTTCATTGTCATCTTTGTTTTCAGTATATGAAGTATTTAGCATTGTTATTCATAACCCATATTATCATTCAGTCTTCATCATCTTATATGTCAAAGATATCCATCGTGCTACTATAATTTGTATTTATAGTTAATGATTTCCATTACTTGATTTATTGATTTAAACAACGTTTATGTCTTATAAATAAATTGTGAAAAATCTGAGCCAGGTGCCGACTGACAACCAGCTGAATCATAAGAGGCCAAGCCTTATACCGGATTTTCAGCCAAGCCTTCAGTTGAACTTCCTAACCAACCCTAGAACCGGATCTCCACTTTAGCTACAAACTGCGCCTATATGCGCCAAGCCTTTACTTCCTTATATTTTTTAGTAATTTTGTCCTTCATTTTTCTGACAGTGCTTTTACTTCATTAATCTCTACTATCCTAATCAATATTTCCATTACAGTAGCTTGTATGCTGTATTCTTTCTGGTTGATTTATTTCTTCCAAGCCTTTACTCAGGGAAAGGAAGTGTAGCTTCCTGTACAGCATTGAACTGGTCTTCAGTTTAGTGACTGCTTAGCAGTGATAACGTGTTAAACAAAAGAAAACTTGCATCTATGCAAGCTAATATCACTAACTTCCTGTCAGACCAGTTAACAGTTTATTGTTATCAGCTATAAATATAAAGCCAACTGATGTTAGCGCTTATTTCAAACTCATGCTTTGAGCATGGAAGTTGAGCTTTAGTCACCTCTGTGGACTAGGAAAGACATACGTTGTTAGTATCAAGGTAAATAGTTACAAAACTGGATGCTTCGCCTTCCATGGAGCTTCACAGCACTATACTTCAGCCATGGAGATGCTATAGTACCTCAGCCTGGGCCTAGTGTTTCTAGCAAGCAACATTGTGTTAACACAACATCTTACTATGTGAGAGATTTTTTTTCCATCATGTGTGCATTGATTACTTTTTATGAGGTAAGTTCAGTATCCTGCACCAAGCATGTTTGTAATATTCAGTACACAGCATTAGCTAAGGTATATGGGTAATTTCTCAATGCAAAATGAATTTCAATTTGTTGTAGATGTCAGCTAAATAATAGATGCAACCATATGAATAATTCTCATCAATAAACAACTACTAATACTTACTGCTGACTTGCTGTCAGTTTGATTCATAAACTACAGTGTCATCCGTTTTTGCTATTAAAATCATATTGTCTGTATAAAATAATTAAATTGATGTGTGATCAATTTTCTGCACAAGGGAGGTGTGGCCTAAAGGGGTGGGGCAATAGGGGGTAAGCCTCTAACTCACCATGATCTTATGCAGTGGTAATAATATTTTTGCAGCCTAAATAGAAAAGCCAATGCTATTCCTACCTCTTTCCTATCCCCTACTATTCTTTCAGTATGATTTTATGTGAAAAAAAAAACCAAAAAAAACAACTTTAGATTATATCATATACTGTTGGGTCTGTGATTATATTAAGATATTTTGTTTAGATTTAGCAGTTAATTTCTCATCAACAGTTACAACAAAAAAAGTTCATCCAAGTTAGTTACTGAACTACCTTGGATGACTCAACTGAATCAGTGGAAACAAGCTACCATCATTGTAAGCTTATCTATGAGGACCGGCAAAATTAGAGATATTTGACCATTAATTGTAGTAGTAAAATATAATGATGGAGTTGATATTCAAATAAAGATTAAATACCAGGGCATGGCACTGCTAAATTTTTATGAGTTTTTTATCAATGCTGATTTGCATATTGTATAAAATCATGAGGCAGCTGTTGAAAAGATGTATTAAGAAATGTGATACCAGGATGAGTAAGAGGGGGCTTAGTGAGGTCAGTAACAAATACAATATAAGCATGCAAGTTTGATTTGGTAAAGCAGTAGACTCAAGTTAGTAGAGTGGTAGACTAGAGACAGTGTGCAGTTGCACAATTATCTAGTTAGTTGTGACCTACTGGTATTGTAATATTAATCTGGAAATGATGAAGTATATGGTACAGCAAAGTAGTTTACAGATGCAGTTGCTTTCTACAAAATAGCTACAGTTGAAGCTTACAAGCTCTAAGCAGCAGCCAAGCAGTTGTCAGGTGTGTAAATGATGAGGCAGTCTACATAAAACCAGGTAAAACATTTGTTGAGAACCAGTCTATTGATCAGACCACAGCATTGTCAAGATGATCCATTGCAAACATAGGCTTATACTGTAGTAGCCAATATTTTTGTTCAGACATTTTTAGGAAAGATAGATTAACATTTCACTTGAGCTATTCATCTGTTGTTTTCAAGTTTTCTTTGAAATTAAAAACTGTTACTAGTTAGTGTAAGCAAGAAGGTATACCCCCTTGGTATAAGTATTAACTGGTCCACTATTATAGATTTTTTTTATCTTATGAAATATTAACAAAGGACTTTTTACATAGGTCCATTAAATAAAAAAATAATTTCAAAACTTCATTTAAAGTTGTCTGGAGTTGGTTGATATAATATTATTATTAGTGGTGCATTGATTTTTTTCTGTAGTATGGTAAAGCACTGAATTATTTTAACACTACATTTTTCACTTGTACTCTACTTGCATTTAGTTTTACTGGTACAGTATTACTATAAAAAGTAGGCCTCCATATTACTTTATCTTGTTTAAAACATAAATAAATCATCCACCAACAGGGGTCTTATCTATTTATGGGCTGTTTATTAATGATTTATCCAGCCAATTAGTTATTCAGTATTTTATTGTAGCTTATATACATACATAAACATAAATATTATTAGAAGCAATTACAAAAATGCTGGTTTAAAATATTAGAGAATTCCCCTGTACAAAATTAAATATTTTAAACTGCATACTACAGTTATCACATTGAAGCATTTTGTTATAAATTGTGAGCATGGAATATTGTGTCATACCCAAATTAAGCCTCTAAGGAATGTTAGAAGTAATTAGCATGTACTCATACCATATTGTTGCATTGGGTTTTAAATAATTTGTGTATATATTTAAAAATAGTAATATCCAGGAATTGAAAATTGATGAGTTCTTTGTTCCTTGAAGTAGACCTGTAAACAGACTCAATGTGGGCTGTACAGGGATCTACTCCTTAATTAACAATTACTAAATCTGTTAAGTCATAAATATTGTCAAAATTTTATTAAATCCTTAAGAGAAATGTGTGTTGTGTTAATCAGAGACAGATGTTAGAGTTTGTGATTTAAAGACCTTTGAGAAGCTAAGCACCTTTATTGACTAAAGTTTAGTTTTTAGGAACAAAACAAAATGGCTTGTTAATTTATTCATAATGTACTTGGCCAGGCCAAACTTAACTGGTGACAATAACTCTCTAGCCTATGTGTATTGGGTTTGTAGTATCTGTAGTACTGTTAGTAAAGTCCAAACCATACCTTTAAAATGCTAGGTTGCTCTAAGTCTTCAGATATAACATTACTTAAGTTTAGAAGAAAATAATAGCCATCAAAAATGCATAAAAGTATTTGACAAAAAAATCAATAAAAAGTTGAACCTAAATTATTAATTTAAAATTGTGATCTATAATTTATTTTGGTACTGTACACATGCCTAACAAACAGCATTACCTCCCAAGAGAAATAAGATGTGATTTTATATGGAGTAGTAGACACTTTACAATATTATATTTTTATTTGAAATGTTAATCCATTTCATATAGTGTGTACTGTAGCTAAAAGACGATTTGAGAAATATACTAATCTTAATATGAATCCATCCATAGAAAACAATTAAATGTTTGAATAATAATAATAGCTTCAGTAGGAAAAACTTTTGTGCCTTTGTATTACAGTAATTTAGTTTGTATTTAGGCAAATATAAATAATCTAAAATCAGTGGCTCCAAAATGCTTAACTTGAATCTAAGAAAGCACCACTGGTCCCATCCACTTCTTGTCCTGTCCACAGACTCTGTAGACTTAAAGCAGCTCTTGTCGCTTCCACAGATACCATAGGCTTACTTGTTAGTGACTATATAGCTCACTGTCGCCTAAGTTTGTAATTTCCTGATACCGACTTGTTGGAATATCCACAGACAATTTTGGCGGGTGAATTTCCTTGCCGAAACCTGCTGGGCTGAGTACGCATTGGTTGGTTGTGTCCATTACATGATCACCATTACAGATACCTGTCTATAATACCATTGTCTATTATGTAATTGATCATTTTATTAGTTTCATTTTTCTGAGTCATTTCTAAATGGGCAATTGAAACTAAATTGTTATGAAAACTAAACTGTTTCTCAAGATAGCTGTCTTTGTTTTCTGATCATCAGAATTTTTGTTTAAATATTGTGTTTATTATGTAATTTCTTCTGCATAACAATGTTAAAAATATATATTATACCGCAAGCATTAATATATATTATTACTTTGCCATGCAAACTTTCAAACAATATAATGTTAAAGTTGTTTCAAAGATATGTTTTCTTTTACAGTTTTCCCAAATGTGCCTGAGAAGCCTGGAGCACCATGCCCGGGAGAAGACAGTAAGTTATCTATACTCCAGTACTCTAATTGTCTTTTTATTTCCCCTCTCTGATTTATTAATGTTTGTTACCATATGAACTATCAAACCTTCTTGTAGTTTTTGTTGATCTTAATTTGTAGCCTGATCTCAACATATGAACTTTTAAATTTTTTGTAGAAAATATCTACAGGCGTGGAGCAAGACGTTGGCGTAAGCTATACAAGGTCAATGGGCACACCTTCCAACCAAAACGGTTTAGTCGGGTAAGGTCAAATAAGCTTCTTAAACAGAGTTTTTAGTTTTTTAGTACAATTACTTGAATCAAAGTTATATCTTTGTAAATTATGAGTTGATTGCTCCAAAATAAGCCTAGTCTATCCACAGAGTCAAATCATAAACGAAAGTGGATTCTAGTTAAATTACCAGTATTTTGTATTAACATACTTGAAAGTACAAAGAATATATTGTTGCTTTTTGAGTTTAATTAAGGCTTGGATGGGGATCAGTAATTAAGAAGCTGATAAATGATCTGTGATAGAGCATTATGGATGGTATTCTGACAAGAGTGAGGAAAACTACTGAAGTTTATCCTAATTATTAAACTTATAACCAAGGAATTCTGCAAGTCATATGCTAACAAATACTATCCTAATTTTCAAACCTCAATTTCCTTAGAAATGTTTTAAAAAAAAACTGAAACCAGCAAATAGAAACTAAAACAAGTTTGTGAAGTCATTTCCTGTATATCTGACCACGCTGAGCTTTTAAAACTTGTAAGCAGTTAAATTGGTTTCAGTTCACAACATATTGCCATCTTTATGTTTTTGTGATTAGTAGTGCCTGGCAAATTGCTTTATTTCTGTTCCTGTAGCCATTGATGCAAGTTTGTAGTACTTTAAGGAAAAAAAACTAATACGATGTCGTTGTTTCATGAGAAGAGCGGTGATCTATCAGATTGCATGCTGGGAACTCCAAAGTAGGCAGCCATTGGTCATATCTACTTTCTAATTGCAGAATAATGATTGCATGTTTTAGATCGCAAGTAGTTTGGATCTTAGACCAAGTTGGTAGCTGAAGCATAGAGGAGAGGTTGAAGCAAAGCATACTTAGCAAGTTACTTGCATCTTGAAATTACAAGCTTAGTAGTTCTATATGATTGGACCTTTCTTTTCCTGATCCGTTCATTCTGTCCAATTATAGTTTTTTTACACAGCATTGAATTTTTCTTCAAGGTAGTATTCAAGAGATTCCCTGATCATTCAATTTAATTTTTTGTGCATCTTGACAAGGTTTTGTTGGAGTATCTATAGACCATTTTGGAGGGTGAATTTCTCTGCAAGATCTAAATTCAAGTCTAGGAAGTTGATCCAGCGTTAAGAGCTGTCAATATTCTGTTGATCCGTTACTTTTGATGCATTTGCCTGATGCTGATTGGTTAAACTTAATAGAGGTCATGTTGTCACATGATGCGGTGGTAAACTTCCTTCCCTGCTTCGTCTTCTAAAGTGAAGTGGCGTGCAACCAGTTATTCTCTTCCTGCTTTAAACAGGCATTGTTATAATTTCCTTTTGGTTGTATAAAAGGGAGCGGTACTGGAATAGGGAGTGGTGCCTATTAACCTGGTTGACTGAAAGAAATGTATAAGCGTCAATCGCTTTGTGAGAAAATTACGGTTTGTACTTAAACCATTTCTCTGATTGTTGGTGGTTGACCTTTTAATGCTGTGTTCATCTGGCAATATATTCATTGAATTTCACATCTTTTGCTAAATTTATGCCATTAAGCTGATGAAAGGTGTGCTCTCTTCATTTTAAGGATATTTTTGGTTGAATTCACTCTGTAGTAGTTGTTAATTTTTTTTTTTTTTTTTTTATTGACTTATTTTGTCAATCAAAATGATAATTGATAATTAACTGTGTTGTAAACTTTTTTTTCAGAGAGCAATCTGTTCAATTTGCAACGACCGTATTTGGGGTTTAGGAAGACAAGGTTTCAAGTGTACAGACTGTAAGGTTCTTGTTCACAAACGCTGTCATAAGTATACCAAGGTTCCTTGTGGTGAACGTCAGGTAAGACTCATTTACTTCTAATCATTTTAATTCAGCTATGAATTTGCCATTTCTTTTTATAGAAATGATCTGTGGTCTTTAAGATCAAGGGTATTTTACATGTATATAATTTTTTGAATGGTTAGAAAAGTCTTAGCCAAGTTTTAATTAATTGATCAGATATTGAAGGCAAGAAAAAAGTAAGTGTGAAGGCTTCCTCCACTGACCATTAAATGAGATTATTTTTAGATTGATTAAATTAACTCAGTAATTAAAAAAACCCAATGATAGCAGGGAAGCAGGCAGTAGTTCTGCATGAATTGAAATTCAAGGCGTGAATTTCCAGAGAGCCTTTTCCAGTTGAAAGGTTAGCCATGTGATTAGGCTGTTTATGAAAACTGAATTCAGACGGTAATGATATTACTTACTCATGCTAGCAGAATAACTTTGCTATTAGGCCTCTATATGAAACATGATATAACAATTTGCTAACATGTAGCAATTCACTTTGCATCAATCTTTAAATGAAATTATTGGCTCATAAATCATCTGGCCATAAAACTAATCAAATATTCAACAAACTTCTTTAAGCTTCTGAACAAAATATTCTTAAATATGCTATATTATTTTTAGTGTTACTTGGTTTAAAACTAATAAAATAATGTAAATATGCTACATTAATTTTAGTATTGCTGTACTTGGTATAAAACGAATACAGTAATTTAAATATACTAGATTGTTTTTAGTATTACTGTTCGGTATAAAAAAGAGTGATAAAAAAAAATCAAATATGCTATATCACTTTTAGTGTTACCTGGTTTAAAACTGGCAAATAAAATGATTTAAACATTATTTTTAGTTATTACTGTACTTGGTATAAACAGATTAATAAATTATCTTAAATATGCTATATTATTTTTAGTGTTACTTGGTTTAAAATTGACATAAAATAATTGAAATATGCTATGTTATATTTAGCTTTACTTGGTAGAAAACAGACTAATACAACATGCTGTATTATTTTTAGTATTACTTGGTATAAAACAGACTAATAAAATAATTTGAATATGCTATATTAATTTTAGTATACTTGGTATAAACCTAACTAGTGAAATAATTTATGCTATATTATTTTTAGTATTACTTTGTATAAAACAGACAAGAAAACAATTATATGCAATATTAATTTTAGTATTACTTGGTATAAAAAATACTTGGTAATAAAATAATGTTTGTAATTACTTATAGCAATTGAAAGCTGCTTCATTTCTGCATTACTGTAATCCTTTTTGTAATTGTATTTAAATTTCTTCTGCTGTTAGCAAGAGCTGCAAACTGTGCAAACAGAAGGCTGATCGTGCTTTGCTGCAAGTAGAGCTTAATTAGTTTCTCCATATTTGGGAATGTTCAGCAACTTAACAAACAAGCTATAAATAAACATGCTCTTCTCTTGTTGTGAATGTTACACATTCATCGATAAATGCAAATATTAAATAGTGTTTTACCAGAGATTAAAGGCTGGTGATTTATTGCTTAAAAGCTACAAACTGTTGGAGCTGTTATTTTAATTTTTTCTCTGATCGTTCGTTAATAAACAGTACTTTTAGTCCCAATATAGCTTTGACATTCACCCTACTTTTCTCTCATATCATCACTCATTCTATTCTCAATTCATATCAAATTTTAGCTATAATTTGTAATGTAGTATAAAGATAACTATACTATCATTATAATATAAATATGTGATGGGAGGTAACATAGAATAGGTAAAGGCAATGACTTTTAACTGTACAGATAAAAATCTTAGGTAGAGGGAATTTGAATTCACTATTTTTAATTCTGAATATTTTGAGAGGTATAATTTGTAATATATGAATATTTATGAATTATTGGATGTCTTATGGGTGTCCTTACTGGTATTTTATCAAGGAGTGGTATACATCCCTCCATTGTTTTAAATTATTGATGTGTAATGCTGTGTTTATCTTCCACTGTGCATACAATCAGAAACAGGAAACAGGGGCTTGGGAATCAGTTCCCAGGATGGCTTCCAAAGGATGTTTAAAGATGATTAAGTAGGCATGGTGTTTCCTGTCATTGGAAGTACTTGTTTAAACCTGGTGTGATAGATAAGACCTTGATAGCCAGTTGTTCATCTTTTCCTCTTAGGACCTTAGAGTGGTATGGTGTAAGCCCTCATGGTTGAGATAATAAGTTTTTAGGTTACTATGCCCAGTACTACTTTCTAATGTGTTCTAAATAATTACTATCAGTCCTCATACAAACCAAGTATCATGATTCAGAGTCAGACACATTAAAATATAGATCCTTATTGTAGCATTACTTAAATCATGTAAACAGGTCCAAAATACTTTAAGAAAAAACTGTAGCTCAACTAAATATGAAATTGAATTGAAAAATTTGTTCTATGAATTGAGCATTGTATGTGTTTAATGATGTGTTTAAATTATTCAACGCTTGCTGATTTGCTTAACATTTTTACACCGTTTAACTCATTTGTATAGATTATTCATTATTTGCAGCATTAACTCATTTGCATAATCATGTATATTCAAATAATTTGATTTTGCAGGAACCAAGATCCTTTTTGAATGAATCATCTCGTAGTTCACCAAGTGATTCGATCCGAGGTAACACATCAGGTAAAAACAAACAAGTTGCTTTCATTGGAATATTGTGGCATGGCCAACTGAATATGATTAGATTAATATTTATGAACATGAATGAGTATAATAGAGATAAAACAAATTAGGACATTTTCATTAGGGTTTTTAACTAATTTATAAATGAAATATACAACAGTTTGAATAATTTAAAGTCATATTTTGTTTAAGGTGCCAGTAATGACTTCCATCATGAAGCAGGTGAGACAGTGTCAGTGGAAGGGTCATCAAAACGCATTGGACTGGAAGAGTTTGACCTCATTCGGGTCATTGGTCGTGGCAGCTATGCCAAGGTAATGGTGGTTGAACAACGAAAGACGCAAAGAATCTATGCAATGAAGGTGATTAAAAAAGAACTGGTGAATGATGAAGAAGACATTGACTGGGTGCAGACAGAAAAACATGTCTTTGAGACAGCCTCTAATCATCCATTCCTTGTTGGTTTGCACTCATGCTTTCAGACAAAGAGCAGGTAAAATCATGTGTTTCATTTGTAGACCATGTAAATGATGAAAATACCTTATTTGTAGATGTAAAACATAAAATCAAGCCTTTTATATGCCTTATGGTTAACTATACAAATATTTTGATCCAGATTATGCTAAACTCAATATTGCCAGAATAAATAATGAGATAACCAGATCATGTCAGGGTGTTCAGTCCTTTTGGTTCTACCCAACTGATTATCAATCCCATGATCCTTAGGGAATTTACCTTCCATTAATGCATTTAGCAGCTGCTGCTTACAAATGCTCACTTGCTTATGAAATCAGCAAGTTCAGCATGTGTGTGAATACATAAATTATATTTAAAATCTGCCTTATTTTTGTAAACAAAATTATCTGCATATTAATCAAGTTGTTGATATTGTAACTCACTACAATATTTATGGATATTAATAATTTAAATACCTAATGATTTACCACCAAAGTTTTATTAACATTGCAATTTTCTCTTTTCTTAGATTATTTTTTATCATAGAGTTTGTAAGTGGTGGTGATTTAATGTTCCACATGCAGAGGCAAAGACGTCTTCCAGAGGAGCACGCCCGCTTTTACTCGGCTGAAATCTGCCTTGCTCTCAACTTCTTACATGAGAAAGGTATTCAATTTTTACACAAAAAATAAAGAAATAAACTATTGTAACATTTCTCTACAGTAATCTAAATTTGCCCTTTTTAAGATATAAGAGTTTTTTTTAAATGAACAAGCGTGACATCCATTAGAACAATAGTAGCGTGTGTTAAAGTTGTGTAACACAGATTATGTGAGCCGCAATGGATTGATCTTTTCCTGTCAGACACAAGATAGGAACAATTGACCTCTTGTATCATGCAACTACTCATTGTGTATTCAATTACACATCCCATTTTGTACTTCTTTTTTTGTAATGCAAAATAATGGTAGTTGTCAATATCTAGACTTCCTTTACTGTTTCTGCTTGTAGGTATAATTTATCGAGATTTGAAACTGGATAACGTACTCCTTGATTCTGAAGGGCACATTAAACTGACTGATTATGGCATGTGTAAAGAAGGTCTTCGGCCAGGAGACACGACTAGCACATTTTGTGGCACTCCAAATTACATTGCACCAGAGATACTCTCAGGAGAAGACTATGGTGAGTGTTAATATTGCGACATTTAATCTTTTTAAGATTTAGAGGATACCAGTTAGACACTTAAAAAAAATTTGAAAATACCACACCTGTTATTGTAAGCAGAGAATTGTGAAGATAGCAGTCTTTCGAAGCAGAAGATTGACTAGATAGCATGAATTTGATGCAATGTGTTGATGCAGAAATTAAGAAGAGGAAAAGCTTCACCTGCCTCATTGCAGTCACTATCACACCTTTATTGTAGTTTCAACAAACCAAGGTGTGTTAGTGATGACAATGAGATCAGGGTTATTCAACCAGAAGATGATTAATTCACTGGTACTATAGTAGAGGGAATTGATATGGAAGAATAAAAATTCATAATCTACAAAAGCATTCACCAAGTTGTAGTTGAATTAAAAAGCACTTCTTATGATGGAAGGCAACGTGCAACTCAAAAAGGCCTTTCAAGTCTCCAGTACTCCAGTGAGCAAGCAACATTTTGTTATGGTTCCCACAATTTCAGAATGTAATTTCTCAAACCAGATCTCCCTCAAGTTGCTTCTCTCAACATGGTAGGTATAACAGAAAAAAGATGTCTCTAAATTGGCTTGGGAAGTCTACAGTTGGATAGGTAATAAATTTATAGAAAATCAATTAAACATTTTTTCTGACACTCATCTTGACTCTTTTGTCTTTGTTTTCAGATTACTCCGTAGATTTCTGGGCCCTTGGTGTATTGATGTTTGAAATGTTGGCTGGAAGGTCGCCATTTGATATTGTCGGAAATGCGGAAAATCCTGACCAAAACACTGAAGATTATTTATTCCAAGTAATTCTAGAAAAGCCAATCAGAATACCAAGATCCTTGTCAGTGAAAGCAGCATCAATCCTGAAGGGTTTCCTTAATAAGGTAAGAAATAGTTGGGGCAAAAATTCATCGGAAATCAATTATAGTAAAAGAATAAATATGGTAGAATGTAAATGGTGGTTGTCATTAAATTTGCAATTAGTGCTACGTCATCCCAGAGGTAGCACCAGGATTTGCCCGACGAGTGTTACAGTGTCCCCAATAGGAATGGAAGTGGGCATGGTTGGCTCCACCCAAAATCTTTCTATAGTGATCCAGGGGGTGTATCCCCCAGAACCTGTGACATTTTAGGAGTGTCAAAGGCTTAAAACGATTTTAGAGTATGTAAAAAAAAATTTTTTTCTTCTCAACGATTTCCCAACGGTATTTGACTAAAGGTTTATTTTTTTGTTTATATTTTTCAGAGTCCAGCCGATCGACTTGGATGTCATCCTACTACTGGCCTTGCTGATATTACAACTCACCCTTTCTTCAAAACTATTGACTGGGAAAGAGTAAGTCAATATCCTGTTATTATCAATCTTAGTATTGTTTTACTGTAGTTTAAGTTGGGCTCCAGGGCCACCTTACGAGCTTGCCTCCTTAGTTCCCGGCACTTGTTGTCAGGAATAAGTAAATAAAAGTGAACAAAATCTTTACCATAAAGTTGTTTCATTGTTAATCTTTTTTTTTTTTTGTTAATTAAAAGTAACAATGTATCAAAAAAGGCACTAAATGTAATACTTAACCTTTGTGAAAAGATGCACAGAGAAAACCCTTAAGATAGACAGTGATAGTGAACTCTTATCAATTGTTTTACCAAAAATATATGTCACAAACAGTATATATATTATTGGTTTACTTACAAGAATTTTCCATTTTCAGAATACAAATAATTATAAAATATTTTCAAATAGGTCATTAATTTGTCCTGCTTCTTTTTTTTCTTCTAGGAGAATTGTAAATGAAATTGACCAATCAGAGTTTGAAGGATTTGAATATGTTAATCCTTTGTTGATGTCAGAAGAAGTACCTGTCTAAACTCGGTACCAAAAACGACGCCCTCAAATTTAAATTTGACCAAGCTCATATCTTGATGTCTTCAAATGTGTGTTGATAGCTACAATATATTTGCCTACAAATGCCAAGTTTTGCAATTCTGGGGTTTATTTGGTGGTAGTACCTGTAGTGTATTTAATAGGACCACATTCTGATAAATCTGTAAACCAGCCAATACTATGTTGGACCAACATTTAGTCAAAACAAAAGTATACATTATACAATATTATGCAGTTCAAAGTAGTAATGAGTATTAATATGAAGCTGTCGATTCACGGCGGTAGACAATGGGTATGGAGAGTTAAATGACCGTCACGGACGCCTCCTGTCCTCTTGAAACTCGTTTCGATCACTGTGCCCATGCACAGGACGGTAGCTCGTACACATACACGCTCAAGTTCCCAGTGCGTCGCTTCCCGTCAAAAATTTAGACCAAATGTTAAATCGAGAAAAGACCGTTCTGTAATTGAATGAGACAGTAGGTACTGAACTTATACGCATGCACAGATTAATATTTTGTTCAATTTACTGTCCTCCTCTGTTTACCGTCGTGAATCGAAAGCTCCCTAATGAGTCTTGTTGACAGTTTACCATTTCAGAGTTGGGAGAGACTAGGTTCATGAGATGTTGGTTCTTTTAACGATTACCATTTGATTTACTCTAATTCCAATGATTACGCTGTGGGGCTTGGGTTTTTAGTCATTACCAAACGAGTTACTCTAATTCCATTGCCTTTAGTTAAGTTTATTCTTGTTCTACTGTGCAAGTTTTTTTTTTTATTTGTATAAAAGTTTGGAAAATATTTTTAAACGTTTAAATAAAAACACTGTCATCCATCCCATGAAACATGCAGCACCTTGATATGAAATAATTCCAAATTTATATATGTAATATTTTTTTTCTGAATTTGTAACAAAGATGTAGGACTGCTGAAGTCATCAAAGATCTAGGTCTTTTCTTTAGATAAAAATTTTCTATGCAAGGAAAAATAAAGATTTCCTTTAAGTTTATAGATTTTATTTAGAAGATGGCTGTAGGCCCTCATCCATGGTGACATGTTGCTTTTCAATATCTATTTCCAGACTTCTTTACTCCCACTTATATATTTCAATTCTTTACTATAATATACACATTGTATTTACACACACATCTGCTTATTTATTCTGATTTATTTGAAGTAGCCAACTTTATTCTACATTCTAATGCAACTCTGCTCTTTCATACTTTTATATTTGTGTATTTAGCATTTATTTATCAATATTATACACTATGTGTTTGTTAGGTTCTTTAGTTTTAAATCTGTATGCTGTCCTTAGCCTTTACAAATGTGCTATGAAATGTAGATGTTATGTAAAGTTATTAAATAAAATAAGCAAAATATATAGTAGTCAACTTATTACTTTCATGTACTGTCTTCCTTGTAATGTAAGTTTACTAATACAGAGACGGTGATTATATCCTGTGTGACAAGTTGCATACATCCAAAAATGGACCCTAAGATATCAGAAATTTTTTTTTAAATACTTATGTTTATGCCAGTACAAAATGTGACTTGTTTGCCAAGAAATCTACAAACGTTGCTACTTGGTTGGCATTAGGTGTGATATTCAATTTACCGCATTTGAATATGCGCTTCTATGTTTTTGATTATGCATGCTAATATATACATACATATGTGGTAGACATGGGTACCATAAACTTGCTGAATCGCAAATTATCACAATTATGTCAGATGACAGGCTGAAGTTGCAGGGGAAGATTATCAAACAAAAGGTAATGATGCCAATCACAAGAAATTGCTATGCAAATCTAGTGTCTTTGTTTATTTGCATTGCGTGAAATCCAAATATCAAAACCAATTAGGCTATGTATGGAAGTTTTGTTCACAAATATTTGAGCACATATCGGTATTGTCATTTAGTGCAACAGTGGCATTGCTAGGTGAAGACAAGCCCCAGTGCAGGATTAATTGCCAGGCTATAGTGGGGGGTTGCAGGGAGCCGTCAATTTCCCTCCTCTAATGGCCTAGGCTAGTAATAAATACTATTAACAGGAACCTTCGCATAGTTACCAACCTGAGAGATTTGAAATGCGTGAGTGACTACACCAGTTGGCTGGGGTGGCCAGGGGCTGCCAGGGTGCATTTAACTTTGTATAAAACTCCAAATAAAGTAAGACTCGTCATTGTGATTCAATATTTCAATCTTTTATTAGATTATCATCAGGAATGGAATTTGTGATCACGCATGTGTTTCTGCAAAATATGTTTCATCCAAAACCACTTTGAAATACGGTACCGTCCCACACAATGAGAGACGGTAACTATACCTTCGTAACTATTTCAAGAGGGCTTATCCAATCTCAGCAGCTGTTCTAAACTAATCAAGAAAATTGGCGGCAGGTAAAATTTTACAAATGCAGTGGCGGATCCAGGATTTCAAAAAGAGGGGACCAGGGATGAACTTTCACAAATGGAGGGGCTAAACCACCTTAGGCATACTGGGGTTGGGGCTCAGGGAAGACAATTTATGATTAAAATTTGAATATAAATTTTTCCCCCTATTTTTTTTTTTTTTTTAATAATTTTGAACGACTTACAGTGTGTCCCCCATTTTTTTCATAATTTTGAGACTGCTCGTTTTTGGAAAGTTGGAAATTATTTTAAGGCCTATTTTATGATTGTCGCTGCACTGCCCATCCCTATGCCACTGCAGTGGAAAATTGACTGATTTGTTGATTAATTTAATCTAATGTTAGCACATGTTCATCTCAGGAAAATGCCACTCATCACTCTTGTACCCCGATCCTACAAATTTGTGAATGAGTGTATGCTTGGAGGTTTAAGGCAGCGGTAGCAGCAGGAATTTGCCGAAGAAGCCCGCAATAAAAAATCCGTGGTAGGGTTCACAGGGAGAATTTTTATGGCTTAGTATGGTCCGAAATGTGCTTAGTATGGCTTAGTATGGTCTGAAATGTGCTTTTAGGCTACAATATTAGGGATTAGCAATCAAAATAACATTATTTGGATAGGCAAATTATTATTTTTTTAAATGTTTGATCCGATGACCTAGTCATGCGTCAGACGACGGGGGTAAATTTCCCCCGGCCTTCTACTGGCCCCACCACTGGTTTGGGGGAGGAAATAAGACTATGCCCTTATGCCCATCTTTGTATCGTTTGAACATCCACTGCAATCACTCACTGTGCATTAGTAAAATGAATTCAATTGAATTAATTTTTCTCTTTGCCATATATTGAGATATATATAAACAAG